CCCATCTGTTCCGCTGTTGTTGAATTTCAGTGATTGCCTTGCCTTTTTTGTCTTTGACCGATCTCTCTGGTTTACTGTATTTCCCTGCTAGTTTCTTCGTTGTATCGTAAAGCTGTTTCATATTTCCTTCTCTAGCAGCTTTTTCTGCCGTCGTTGCTAGTTCTTCCACGTATTTATGCTTGTCGGCTCTAATGCTCCTCTTCACTTGTTTGTTTGCTTCTATGTATTAAGCTTGTGCTTGGACTTTCTCTGCTCGTGTTCGGCTGTTGTTTATTGCTGCCTTCTTGTTCTTCCTTTCTTTGATCTTGTCCAGTGTTTCTATAGAGATCCATTCCTTATGATGGTATTTCTTTAGACCGAGAACCTCTTGACACGTTGAAGTTAATGCTTCCTTGATGCCTTTCCAGTTGTCCTCCATAGTAGTTTCTTCTTCTTTCAGTAGATCTCGTAAGGCTTGGAACCTGTTGTTGAGAGCTATCTTGAATTCATTGAGTTTGACAGTATCTCGAAGGAAGGCTGTATTGAACCTTTGTATTGCTGTTTGTCCACTTGTCCAGTTCTTTTTTAGCTTCAGTTTTAAATTGGCTACAACTAGGTGGTGATCTGAAGCTACGTCAGCACCTCTCTTGGTTCTCACATCTTCCATTGTCCTTCGGAATTTTTTGTTGATGCAAATCTGATCTATTTGGTTCTCTGTAGTGTGGTCCGCTGAGATCCATGTAGCCTTGTGTATACGCTTGTGTGGAAATATTGTGCCTCCTATGATCAATTTGTTGAATGCACATAGATTTGCAAATCTTTCTCCATTTTCGTTTCTTTCTCCCAGTCCATGTCGTCCCATAATATCTTCATATCCAGTGTTGTCTATTCCGACTTTGGCATTTAGATCTCCCATCAGAATAGTTAGGTCCTTTCTTGGGCATTTCTCAATGATTGACTGCAGTCGCTCGTAGAACTGATCTTTAATTTCGTCGTTGCTATCATTGGTGGGTGCATAACATTGGATAATATTCATTGTGATCCCCTCCTTCTTTGTTTTGAATGATGCTTTGATGATTCTGGATCCGTGAGATTCCCATGCTAAAAGTGCATTTCGTGCTACTTTGGACAGCATAAGAGCGACTCCCTGAGTGTGTGGAGCATTGTCCTCTTCGTGACCGGAGTATAGCAGCATCTCTCCCGTAGCTAGCCTTTTCTGTCCAGTTTGGGTCCAGTGGGTTTCGTTGAGTCACAATACTGCCAATTTGTATCTCCTCATTTGCGTTGCTATTTGACTTGTCTTCCCGGTCTCCCACATTGTTCGGACGTTCCATGTACCTATAAATACTCTTGTTCTGGTTGTTAGAAGGCACAACGTCCTCGTGGCTTCCGAAGGAACTCGGCTTTCACCATGGGGCGTCATAATTCTTCTAAATGAAGACCTTCTAACTCTCAGGGCAGAGTTAAAATGGTTTGGATTATTTTTTCTGGTAAGCGTTTTTTTAGCGAGCTGGTTTTCTACGGGATGGGGACGCTAACCCCATGCCCAACCCTCCTCCTTTACCCGGGCTTGGGACCGGCAGCAACCCTATAAGAGCTACAGGCGGAGTTTCGTACTTATATATATGTATACCTAGATTGTGTGTTGAAGTAACGATGACTATTTTCGTTACTTCTTTTGATATTTAAGGAATAACAACTAATAAATCACTCTGTTATTTAGTTATGTTTCGGTAAATTTAATGAAACATTCTTCCTCGGTATAAATATATATAATATTTCATGTGATGTAATTACATGCTCATACTGAGTGGTTCTTTGTGTGTTAGTTTATCTCTTATTATGAAAATATTTCATAACAAACTACATTTTTGTGTTTCATCTAGTTACAGAAGATCTGATTTGTGAAAATAAGTAATGAGGAATTGAAACTCAAGTAAAACCGCATGAAAACTTTGTCTTTTAAAACTTTCTCGGTGTTGATATTAATTTCTTAGCCTCTCATCTTCACTAATTAGTAAACCAGTGAAGCATTAAAGATCAATGAACAATTTTGTTATTAAATCTAAAACATTCTAGTTAACCACTTCTCAACAATCAGTAATGAAATAAATTACTTCTTTATTTCAATGAATCAATAATGAGTATTAACTGTGTGACATAATCTCTTACAGTGATAGAACTTTGTTAATCTATTGTGATAATTAAAATCGCGAAAATTTCAGATGTTTTATGGTGGCTGGATTATCTTTTGCATACACAATAGAAAAATACATTGAAATTACCTGATAGAACACATAATTTATTTCAACAGTTGAAATCATGAGTAAGTTGAGGCTGGACCATCATGGAAAACCTGGAGGCACTAGGACGACCGTTTCGTCCTATTGTGGGGCTCCTCAGCGGTGCGCATCCACGATCCTGCTCTCGCGAGATTCGAACCCATGGCCTATCAGTCTCGCGCGGGAGCGCCTAAGCATTAGACCACTGAGCCGGCATCCAACGGTGTTACCGTCTAACTTCAACCAATCCATGAAAGAGCGCCACCGTCACCATTGTCTTCGGTGATCTTATATCCTACAACAGACCTGGCTAAACTCCACTAGTGACGGCTTCTCACTAGAACTCCGGGAAATGCCTCTTAAAGTCAGTCACTAGTGAGCAGATGATTATTATCAGAAGAGGTTTTGTGCGGACTTTTAGAAATTTCAATAGCTGAAATGATGAGTCAATTTAAGCTAGACAAGCATGGAAAACCTGGAAGCACTGGGATCGTGGATGCGCACTGTTGAGGAGTCCCATACAAGGACGAAACAGCCGTCCAGTACTTCCAGGTTTTCCATGCTGGTTTAGCCTCAATTGACTCATGGTTTCAACCACTGAAATTTCTAAAAATCTCCACAAAACCCCTTCTGACATCATTCATTGCTAAAAGTTAATAAATTGATGAATATAGTATGTTTAGATCAATAACGATTATCGGAAAAATTCAATACATGGGGAATTAATATTCATTTATCCCTTGTTTTATAATCAACACAAATCAAGTTGCTGCTTAATGATTCAATCACAAAACATTTTCTTTGATATCTCTTCGTCTTTCAGAAATATAAATTCCCCAAACGAATACTTAGTACTTGTGGTTGATTATAATTTGGCTTATTTACAACTTCTCAATACTTATAGTGTTTTGAAAATATACCTGTGCACTTCACGTGAATGTTTATATTATGGTTCATTTTTTTAACTTCACGAATTTATACGACAATTTTGAAATATATGAAAATTGCTCAAGATATCTTCGATGAGATATTTTTATTGTGATTGTTCATTGATACTTATACAATTCCATGACGTTATATTATTGTGTGTTAGCATAGAAATGGAGACTTTCCAGTAACCGATTATCATACACAGAGAAGGATATTGAGTATATTTTTATGAAGCGTTCTAGTCGTTGTTTGCTTCAAAGACGTTTTTTAATTATTACTTCTGGAATCTACTGAAAGTATAATAGAAACAACTCATCGAAATATAAACACAAATTTATTTGGCATTTGAAGATTTTATGGTATTTTTATTGTTGAAGTCACAAACTGATCTTAGCTAGACTACTACTGAAAACTTGTAAGCACTGAGCGGCCGTTTTAACATGGTGTGGAACTATATGTTCACTAATGACTAGCTTCAAGTCGTAACTCTTGGGGATCTAGTGACTAGACGTGGCCAGTAGTGTTCAATATGTGCTTGATGTAAGTCAATTATCCACCTCAGCGGTGGATGAACGGTTTCCCAAGATCATGGATTTAGTAAAGTTACACACTGACACCGTCAGATGCCGCGAGGTGTAAAGCACTCGTGCGTAAGCCCTATGGTCCTGAGTTCGATATTCGAATGGAAATTTGTGGATGTGCACTGCTGAGGAGTCCCATATTAGAACGAGACGCCAATTTAGTGCTTACAGGCTTTTAATGGTTGTTTGGCTAAGGTCAGTCCGTGCTTTCAATATCGACAAATTTATTTATAACAAAACTCACATTGCTTAAATCGACCAACATTTGAAAAGCAATTGTTAACTGTGATTGCTCGAAATAAGGTACTCCTATTCCAAATGCAAGCTTGTAGTAATCCTCTTCGGATTTATCCATATCAGTCTGTCAAATAAAGTTTGGAATGTCTTTTACTCAAACTGAAATATACATGTAAAACTGAGTGGATGAGACATTGAAATGCACATTGATATAAGACGGAATTTATCCGTGAAATATTTATGATCGTTATTCAAGATGTACAAATATCTCTTCTATTGTGACTTAACACTTGTCGATTGTTCTGGTTGAAAATGATGATTCATTAATTATTCTACCATGTGTTAGATTAGGTTATATCGTGATAAATACCGAACTTCTTAATTGAAGACATTTAAGTTTCTACTGTGACAGCTCACACTTAAAATTTCTTATTTTATTAGAAAATTTAGCATTAGTATAAATGGGATTTTTATTAAGATGAAAAGGGACAAATATTTACAAAAAAATGGTAGTTATTTCACATTGTAAGTGTGAACACTTATATACCTTCAGATATGATATCAATATAGTTTGAAAGTATTTTATCATCCTGAGTTGTTTATAATGGTATTAATGTTATATTGTTTATAATGCATATTATCACATCACTTTGTATGCTGATATATTTCTGGATTATTTTCTGTTTTGTACAACAATTCGTTATCAGTATCTGTGTTAAAACGAGCATTATCTTGATCTCTTATTAGTTGACAACTATCTCAAAATGATATAAATTAGCTTGATAGCGAAGAACAATTATCGATATCAATCATATGGATTCTATAAACCAGATGAAATGAGTATTTAATCATTCTATTAAATAAAGCAACAATGTCTTATTGGTTAATTTTAATTTGATGTTTTAACAGCATAACTATAAAAGATAGTGAATTGAAGTTATCTTTAAATTACTTAAAAACTACCAAAATTTTAAATAAATGTAACATTTACCTGTATTGAAGCAGGATTTAATCCTATCCGACCTGGTGAAATCTGATTATTGTAGTATAATAAAATATAATTTAGTGGATTTATGAGAGAGAAATAAATTATTAATGGCCAGAATAATACAAATGATAAGAAAATGAATTGTTTAATATCAGATGGGTTTTGTGGAAATTGTAGTAATTTCAATGGCTAAGATCATGAGTCAGTTGAAGCTGGTGGTCTAGCTACTACAATTACTACAATCTCAACAAAACCCATCTGATATTAATCAACATATGCTCACTAGTGACTGTCTTCGAGAGCTATATTCTGGAGTTCTAGTGAGAAGTAGTGACCAGTGGAGTTCAACCAGGTCCGCTGTGAGATAGTAAGTCACTGAAGACAATGGTGAATGTGTCGCCCAATTTCGTGGATTAGTTGAAGTTAGACATTAACACCTTTGGATGCCGGCCAGCTCAGTGGTCTAATGGTTAAGTGATCGCGCGCGAAGCTGATAGGTCCTGCGTTCGAATCTTGCAGGGGACGAGGTCGTGGATGCGCACTGCTGAGGAGTCCCACAATAGGACGAAACGGCCGTCCAGTGCTTCCATGTTTTCCATGGTGGTCTGGCTTCAACTGACTCATGATCTTAACCATTGAAAAATGACTTGTGTCAATCATATTTTTGTCATTATTACTGAAATAGGACATTGTAAAATGTTGATTTGGTTCCCTGTTTCCCATGTGTAATATAACAAATTTATTTATCAACAGATTACGATGAAGTTATTTATTTATTTATTTATATGTAAAAATGATCTCATAGATTAGCTTTTGTGAAATCTAATGAATGTTCATGTTAAATCTACTAATCTTTGTTAATCAAATTGAGCTATGAGAATATACTGTAATACAGTTTTTCTGACAGTTATTTATCATATTACATGACTAAACAACTTTATTCTATTTAGAATGCTATCTGACCAAACGTATTTCATTTTTCGTTGATTAGAGTTTGCTAAGATACTAGCGGTGAGCAGTTAATGACTATATGAATCAAAGAATATCAGCACTCCGTTATTCAATGTAGCTAGTTGATATTGTGTAGAACATTTTAAACAACATTAAACGCGAAAGAATTTCATGCAACATCATAAAATATATTTTAATGGTAAACATACGACACAAGTAGACAGATTTTATTGCAAGCGTTTAGATTAGAATGTCATTATAACTATATTTTACTTTTCTCATGATTCATAAAAATCATATCACTTTGCGAAACGAAACAAAAGATCAACTGGTGATATTTTACTGTTTTTGAATCACAGTCAAAGTATCACTTGCAAGGTAAACACAATTGATATGAAGTTCTTTTTTTTTGTAGTTTTTCATGCAGAAAAATGTGAGATGGGATACATTGTTCTCAACTACTAGTTAAAACAAATAGATCATTTTTTGTTACAGATATATTTTGTGGCAAATCACAAAGAGGTGCCATTCACATTTAAAGAGTTGGACTCAAGTCGTTTTCTTTATCTATTTTGTTTCATTGTCACTTTTGCGATTGTGAATTGTAAAATCTCGAACAAACCGAAAATGCTGCATTACAACATAATGCATATTTTCACTAAAGAATCACAGTAATCTTACTGTAAAGTTTTCAGATAGACATGAATTATGTAAAAACAATTTATAGTAGTGAAAGGAAGAGTGAGATTTAATTGTAATTGTTATAACGGTTGGGTTTTCAATGTTTAAACGAATGGGATGTTAATTTACCTTAGACGGATATCTACATTATATTCTCTCCCAGTGTCTATTCTACAAGACTTCAACACAACTCAGATCAAGAACACGTGATTAGCCTGACTAGAACGTAAATATATTTCTACACCTAAAACCCGGCACAATCCAACAACAATGAACAATCAACAATAATAATTATAAGGATACGAAAATATATAACTCATCTAACATCTGTCAAATTATCAACATTTCTGACTAGGCAAACAACCAATCATTATCATTCTCGCCCACACATCAGGAATTTCAGATGTTGTAAGGCAATCGATACCCCATTCAAAACGCCATAACGACTAACACTGAATATTTTGATGGATTATTAGGGGTTTTGATACATTTCAAGCTAATGAGTTTTAACAATTTTTAAAATTAGATTTATGAAAGAAACACTTACATTTATGGCGAATATATCCTGCTTGATATTTATTGAAAATAAAAGTGAACTACCAGTTTGACTTATTATTGGTAGAAATAGATCAGTTAGACTCATTTTTTCAGTGTCTGTTGAAATTGACGGTATTAGTTCCCATCCACCAAATAGATCACGTATTAATGATTGATAAGCTAATTGAGCTGTTTTCCAGTTACGATTGAATACGCAAGATTTGTAAAACTTTCGAGCATTCTGTAGATGTGAATCTTCTATGTCGTAGGACTCATCAGCTTCAACATACCCGTTGTTATCATAAAATAATGTAGATTGAACAAACAAATTTCATTTGATTAAACAAAGTATCTGATTGAAAAAACTATTGTCTTTTACTGCATAATCCCCTATTAACTATTTTCCTGAACTTTTCACTTTAAAATAATCTATTCTGATTAAGAATAACTTCAATCACTGATATTCTGATATAGAACATGACTACTCATTCACAACTGATAAGGATTTATTTCATAATACTGCTTATTACATTTTTATTAAGCGAAAACTCATATCTGCATTTAGTGTAATGAAAGTGGTAGGTGTTAAATTATTTGGATTTTAAAAAATACTTCGTTATGGTGAATTGATATGAGTCAACTAACATTTTAATATAATAATACTATTACAGTATAATTTACCAATTATTTTCCAGAAGTAATGATCGATCATTATTTCCATTTTAACAAATGCATTCAAACTAGCGTCTTGACTAATCAAAGGATTTTGGTTTTCCCATTCTCCACAAGCAAACTGGTAAAAATCATGACAAGCATCTGAGATAGTTGAGTTGCCAGTGTCGTTCGGAAGATAAATTGCCAAATTCTTTGGCTCTACAAAAAATTTAACTCTAAAATGTTATTGACTGTATTGAGCAAGTAATTGGACTTCATTATAATTTTTCTTACTATCTTGACGGTAACTAACATTAAAATAAATATATACTACCGATTAACAAACGAACTCTGATGGTTACTACTCATAAAGATTTTACAGCTGTTTAGGCGGTACATAACTAGGGTTTTTTTAAATCCGATTTTTCTTCTCTTATGACTAACAGATGAACAGGATTTTGCAGTGTTATAGAAATATATAAAACAACTTGCTTTGTTTACAGATCAAACAAAATTGTTAAACAAAATGCAAGCTAATAGGAACGTCAAACACTCTGTTTTTCTAATATACTAAGTAATGTACACAAGTAAAAGTGATTCGAACTGGTAAATATTTCAGATTTTACAATAACATAAGCGGCTAAATGTGTTCTTCTTTGAACCGAGTTAACTAACCGGGTTAACTATCAGAAACTCGGAATATATGTCCTACTGGAATGTGAGTACTATCATTTTCGCAGCACGTGACATTATTCTTTACAATAAGCTAAAGTGAATGTCTGAATTCCAATTTCACTCCCAAATTAGCTATATTTATAAGTTAGTTAGATTGCCAGTGTGATTTGAAAATGTTCCATATAAATTTCTTATTTGACCTAGGGACGTTCATTATTTCTCTAAACAGTCAACTATGAATGTTTATATATAGCTTCATCGATATTGTTTAACATTTTAGTATGTTGTCAGGTTTTAAGGAGAACGTTGCTATCACTGACTCTATACATAATAATCATGAATTCTTGTTCAGACCTGTCATAACAGTAAATGTATTACCTTATTTGTCTTATATAAACACAAATAAGTTTGTTGTGTTTGAAGAAATAGTATATAATTTGTGAAAACGACTTATAAATCTTAGTGATTAACTTCTACTGTTGACATAAATAATACGTTAGATGTTATTATTACCACATGTGATTATATACACTAATGTTTTGAATTATGTCGTCCGAGATAATAATGAATTTGATTGTGTACAATGAAATTATCAAAATGTTTATATAGCAAAAGTTGTTTAAGAAATATCTCACCTTGTTTATTAGTTAAGACAAAATAGATAAGGACTGAACCTCCAGATATTATCACCAATAAACTTATGATAAATACTCCATATTGTATAACTCCTTTATTTAATTCCGTTAACATAACCTCTGTAAGTGATAACAATGATTTCAAAAGGTCTAACAATTTCTTTTATTATGAAAGTAAAGTACATTTTTAACCAATTATTATAAATCTTTAAAGTGATTTGTTAATACAATAAACAAAGTTACAGTGTACGTAATCATTTAACATTTGCTTCTCAGTAAATAGTGTTTACTGAAGAAGAAGAAGAAATACAAAAAAAAACTTCTTGACGAAAAATTTTTCTATGAGACTGTACATTTGCGTCCATTCAATATATCAGTTTATGATAAAATAGAAAAGAGATTATAACAAACAGTATTCAGATACTTCAAGGATAACTAAAAAGTTTTACGAAAACAATTCAAGGTATGAAAATAACTTGCAGACTAGTGGTGAGATAATTATTCACTTCAAATTAGTGAAGAGAAACAGAAGGTTATGATGTTATCGAATAATAACTTAATATTTTTTCCGATAGTGTAACAAGAAGACGAAGATTATCAGAACTATGTGATATATTAGCGCAATACATTACGAACAATCTGATCACACATATACTTGTTAAGAACATTTATATATAAAAATAAAAGGTCTGGTTGAGGACCTAATCGAAAACATGTCACTTTATGAGGGGTATGTGGGCGATATCTTAGTTGTCTGTGAAATAAAGGAGGATATGTACTGTTTATTGAATAAATTTAACACTCTCCAAAAACAAAACAGTCTCTTATGCAAAGAGCAGAAGAAAGACCAGTTTCCCTCCCTAAGTATACTTCTAAGTAGACGAGAAGATGGCTTAATCGAACGATCCATTTTTAGAAAACCAACGTGGACAGGTCAATAACTTAGTTATTATAGTTCATGCCCCGTGCAATACAAACTGGGCTTGATAAGGTGCATATTTAACAAGTTTGATCGTATGTGTACAAACGACGCCATTGATGATGATGTCAGGTTGTTGAATAAAACATTAATGGAAAGTGACTATCCCTTTAAATTCATAAATATATGGAAAGTTTATGGTACAGTGAGACGTACTATAGCTTTGGCAGAAAAAAAGCCTGTCTACATCACCTTACCATTTAGAGGTGATTTAAATAGCCTTTTATTGAAACAAAGGCTTAAATCAGTCATTAACAAGACAGATTGTGAAGCGACGGTCATTATCAAGGAAATAACAAATAAGAGTAAGGGATAAACATCTATCAACGTCTGTTGCCAAGCACATAATTGAAACAGGTCGTAAGATTTATCCTAACTCGGCTTTAGTGGTGTTGTACAAAAGTGTAAAAGGCCGTATACTAAGGTTTATTGAATCTCTAGCTATACGAAAATTTAAAACCCCTCTGGGTATTCAAACACAGTTTATTCTCACCTCAAACCTACTCTGGTGACATCTGTTTATTATCTGAGTGATGAGGGGCCAACTTATTTTCACATTATTACTTTATTATCTTTGTCTCCTCCTACCCTTTCTTTCCAGTCCATTTGACATTTCATTTTACATATATAAATGTTCTCAACAAGTATAATATGTGTGATCAGATTGTTCGTAATGTATTGCGCTAATATATCACAGTTCTGATAATCAACATCTTATTACACTAACGAGATTTATCAAAGGGACCAATTGTTTTAATATTAGTTATAAAGAATAGGAATAGGATAATAACAACTGTTTACTGAACAAATTTAAACCAAAACATATTTGAAGGATTTAGGCATGATAGAATGAGGAGTTGTCTCTACAGCGTTAGTTCTTAGAGTTTAGACTTAAACAGACGAATTGCTAAAGCCTATGGAGTACGTATAATCTTAATTCGTTGAGTCTGTGAATAAGTTTGTTAATTCTTATGGGTGTTATGGCAACGTGATCAAAATTAAAGAGTTGTTCGTGTATTAAGATGTTTATGTTATGCATATTTCTTTTGAAAGCAATGTTGTGTAATATTCTATTTTTTTTCGAAAGAGTACGCTTAGTAAGGTTGTTGTAATTGTTTGGATCACTTTTTCTGCAGCTATTCTATGATTTCCGGAAGATTTAGGAAGTTTCATATAGTCTAAAAGCTGATGTTAGTAATCCGATTTTATCTGCTTCTAAAGCAAATATTATTCAATTACTGAATTGATGACCCTTCTGTAATGTTTAAGATTCATGTATATATCATGTTGGATGGCCCAACAACAGATTATGGCTTCATTATTCGTTATTACCACTAAAATTAATTTTAATAGTTTATACTCCCAATGGTATATTATATAGGAGTAAAGAAGTCTAAATAAAACAATGAAACCATTAATATGATGGTGTCAGCAGTTTATTTTACTTTTATACTGTTCTATATTTTTAAGCTTATTATTCATTTAACCTTTTTAATGTTTAGTGCATATAATTCAATTATAATTCTGCATATTATGTTTGATTTACAACCCCATATCATACACTGTGTGATAGTCATTTGAGTGTTTCAGGAACGCTAAATTTTGTATTATCTAAGACATAAATCTGATGTATTATTGATGTTTTTCACGGTACATAGAGACTGTGGGGTGAAGTTCATTTGTTTTATTTCAGAAATCAGTTGATTTACAAATGTGAACTTAGGAAGATTAATCCCTTGTATAAATTCTAAAACTTTAATAAGAAGTTGTTTTGAGTTCTGACTGAGACAATAATTCAATCAATGTTAGACCACTGTTAAAAACCTGGAAGCATTGAATGGCAGATTGGTCCTAGTATTGGACTCCCCAGTAGTCGATGTAAACTCATTAGCATACAAAAGTTGAGCGCTACTTGTAGAAATAGTGAGTCTTTCATAAAGTGAGTGCCCTGAAAATTAGATAGACAAATTGTTAAGGAGAACGTGAGAATATACGTCCAAATTACAATGAAGCAATAGTGAGACATGACGATACGCATGACTATGAAATTCAATGGAAAGTCAGGGTGAATAATTGGGTTTCGAAACATTGTCTCTATACAGAAGTTAAGTTTACTTTAACGTGTTCCTGTGAATTCAGCTCTATGTAACAAATGAAACATGGAAGAATAAGGCAGTTGTAATGGAATTTTATACATAATTTTCAAAGGTAACTGTCTACTATCAGCTACGTGTGCCAGAACTGAGCTTCTTATTGCTGTTTTTATCCTTCTGTCAACTATCAGGAAAGACATTCAAAAACATTATGATTAGTTTGACTAGTTGCATGTCCGAGATAACTGGTGCATCAAGAACATTTGGACTGCTGAGTTCACAAGGA